CCCCCCCCTCTTCATCGCCCCCCTCCCAGCCCGCGGGTTGAGCATCCCCCGGCTGAGCACCGGCCGAGCCTCCCTCCTCCCCATCTCCGCCCCATTTCCAGCAGTTTTAGGAAAAGCCGGATTGCGTTATTAAAAAAAAAAAAAAAACCCCCCCCTCTTCATCGCCCCCCTCCCAGCCCGCGGGTTGAGCATCCCCCGGCTGAGCACCGGCCGAGCCTCCCTCCTCCCCATCTCCGCCCCATTTCCAGCAGTTTTAGGAAAAGCCGGATTGCGTTATTAAAAAAAAAAAAAAAAAAAGGAGTGATTGTTCTATGAGAAGATAAAAAGTACACATACAGTTCATACAATAATCTTATGAATGTAAAAGAGGGGGGAACCATGTCGGCTTCTGGCCCCATTAGCAACTACTATGTCGACTCCCTGATAAGCCACGAGAACGAAGAGCTCTTGGCCTCCCGGTTCCCCGGCTCTGCCTCCCACCCGGCTGCCGCCCGACCGTCAGGATTAGTCCCGGACTGTGCCGACTTTCCGTCCTGCAGTTTCGCCCCCAAGCCGGCCGTTTTCACCACCTCCTGGGCTCCCGTCCACTCCCAGTCCTCCGTGGGCTACCACCCCTACGCCCCCCAGGCGCCCGTGGGGGCCGAGCCCAGGTACATGCGGACTTGGCTGGAGCCCCTCGCCGGGGCCGTCTCCTTCCCGGCCTTCGCCCCCGGGGCTCGCCCCTACGGCCTCAAACCCGACGCTTTCCCCGGGCGGCGGCCGGAGTGCGGCCCCGCCGACGGGCGCGGCTACGCGGACTTCATGTACGGGGCTCCGGGGGAGCTGAGAGACAGAGCAGAGCAGACAATTCCTTCCCCGGAGTCCGAAGCCATCGCTTCCAGCAAACACAAAGAAGAAAAGCACGAATTAGACCCTAGTAAGTCGAAGTCATTCTTGTTTACGACCGGGGAAGGCATTACGGCTTCCAGGACCCTACTCAATAAAATGAAATTACCTTAGAGAGCCCGACCCTAAAACTCCAGATACGCAGGAAGATCTGGGGGTTTGAGCGAGTCCGCTTGCAGAGCCGGAGAGCGAATATCTCTACTTTGTTTGGGGCTCTTTAGTCTTTTTTTTTCTTTTTCTTTGGTTTTTTTTTCAAATTTTTTTTTGAAGGGAGGATGGGGGGGCTGTTGGCTGCTTTGATCAAATATTCATCACTTTCCACCGGGGGGAATTAAAGAAAAAAAATAGAGAAGGAGAGTGCGTGTGTGAGAGGGGGGCAGGCAGAGGGAGAAGCCTCTTTGCTTTCAAATATTCCCACTTTCAAAGAACAAGGAAGAGTTGTAGCTGGAAGTGAGCGTATTGATGTGGGTTTGGGGTTTTTTGGGGAGGGAAAAGGAATATCTCTGGATAAAGGCAGAGGTGTCTCTTTATCTATTTTGAAAATCAATAAAAGCTCCACCGGTGCAATTATTCATAAAATGCTCCAACACGTGGGAATAAATGAAAAGGTGGGTGTGTGTGGGGGGGGGGGTAAGGGAGAAGTAAGGAGGAAAATTGGAATTGTAAAAGCATCAGCTCAGTGCGTGGGGGTGGCTGGGGGCGAAAGGCAGTGAGCGCAGGACATTGGACCATACACTTGGAGAAACATCTTCTGCAGCCCAAGTGAGACAGGGAGGAGGGGGGAGGAAACTCAAAAAAACCCAACAAACCCCAAGGAAACCCCAACCCAGTCATCAGGAAACGTTGGACATTGTAGGGGCAGGAGCCAGGTAACCGCCACCCCCACCCCCCGCCTGCATCCTGCAGAGGGGACCAGTTCCTGGGGGATACTCAGCTCTGGGGATTAAAAAACCCCAAAACCCCAAAATAACCCCAAACCCAACTCTTCCTCCTCAAACGGATCAGAGCATCCGCGGGGGAATGATGCGAGGGCAACCGCCTGGGTCCCGAACCCCCCCGCAGCTTTGGTGGGATCCCCCTGGCCTAAGAGTGCGGGGGGTTCCGAGCGATGGAGCTGGGTGCCAGCAGCTGGGAGCACCTGGGTGCCTCGGCAGCAGGGAAAGGGGCTCCTATCGCGACTGGTGCCAGGCGGGTGGTGCCAGGCACCCTCGTGATAAAAATAAGGCGAGGAATCGGGGGGTGAAAGGCAGTGGTAGGGGGAAGAAGGACAAATCTTCTCCTAAGGAAGGGAGCGATGGGTTTGGTGCCCTGAGCGAGCGGGGATGTGGCAGCAGCGTAGAAAGTCCTTTAGGTTAGGAGGAAAAAAAACCAACAACCTCACACTAAAAAAAAGAGGCAATTTTGGGAGCCAGTGGGACATCTCGCGTGTCATCCTTAAGATATTAAAAAAACAAACCCGGCTTTGCAGGTCTGGGAAAGCTTCTAGGGAAAGTATTGGAGAGCTGAGGTTGTAAAAAGAGTTTATGGGCCTATGAAATGGTGGGAATTTTTACTTTTTATGACTATGTTCTTAGATTACTGCTAGCAGCAGTCATGTGGATAATTATTATTTTAAACCCATTGCTACAGTTTTATTTACTGAAACTTTTATGTGAGAACAGCAGCAAAAGAAAAGGAAATGACCCCTCCAAAATAAACAGATTAAACTCTTCTGAAGGTCACTTAAAATATTTAGGTAAGATCTGCTAATTAAACAGGTTTCTTTCTATAGATACACCAGGGCGTGGAGGGGGGGAGGGAAGAAAGGCCAGCTTTGTGCATTGATTTTCTTTTGCCACCCCCCAAAAATATATATACATATAAAAATCTTCTTTCTCAGACAATCCCGTCGCAAATTGGATTCATGCGCGCTCCACGAGGAAGAAAAGATGTCCTTACACAAAGTATCAGACCCTGGAACTGGAAAAAGAGTTTTTATTCAATATGTACCTTACACGGGACCGGAGGTACGAAGTAGCCAGAGTCCTTAATCTCACTGAACGCCAAGTCAAAATCTGGTTTCAGAACAGGCGAATGAAAATGAAGAAAATGAATAAAGAAAAAACCGATAAAGAACAGCAATAAAGTTGGCAAAGTCCAGGCAATGAGAAACGAGGGTGGAGAGCAAAATAAAAAAAAAAGGAAAAACAAAAAAAAAGGAAAGAAAGAAAAAAAAAGAGGCTGATTTTGGGGGTTGAAATGTTTCTGACTTTGAATGTGCGGATGAATGTTTAGCGTTATAGGAAACACAGCGAGCGTTTTGGGACACGAGTCTTTTCTAAGATGCAATTAAATAAAAGAACGATGTTTGGGGGGGGGTGTTTTGTTTTCTCCTCCTTTCTTCCTTGTTTTTGTTTTGTCCTCCTCAGAAAACAAACACAAGAAGTACTTGAATTTTTTGGTGGGTTTTTTTTTTTTTTAGTATTTTATTTCATAAATTAAACTTATCCAGTATTTTTATTTTTTAATTCCGCGAGCTCGTGGGTGAATATTTTGTACAAAAGAGAGGAAAAAGAGGAAAAAAAAACAACAAAAAAACAAACAACGAAACAAAACAGACACAAAAAAGACTGAAGGGAATATGGCTCAATGATGTTCTGTCATGGTGTTGAACGTTTCTGCTGTACTTATTTGTGTATTTTATTCTCGTCTCAGAACCGTTCTGTAATATTGTTATGTTCGCTATTGTAGAGCAGCTCTATGTAAATATACCTAACGTCACGGGAGAAAAAAAAATAAGAAAAAGAAAAAAAAAATAAGAAAAAAAAAAAAAGCCGTATGTAGGTGTCTTTTTATTGAAAGCCCTTTGCAGAGAAGCAGCCTCAGGGCTTTGCCAGGCGGTGCCGACCCGAGCATCCCCCGCAGCCGCGGAGGAGCGCGGAGATTTCTGCTTCCTTCCCCAGCACTTTTGCTATTTCCAAGTACCATAATAAAAAGGCGCTGAGGTAAGGGTTATACGTGCCATCAATTTTTAGATTGGGATAATTAATTGTACTAATTTATGACCCCAGGCAATCGAAGGATGTGTAAAAAGACTAAATATGGATGCTGGGAATAGAGGAGCTGGCAAAGGCATCCTCCGCCTGCCATCCGCGCAGGGGGAGCTTCTGCCAGAACTGGGGGGGGGGTTTGCTGGAAGTGCTGCTTCTCGCAAGACAGTCCAGGAAAAGGGGAAAAAATAATATAAATAAATATATATATATGTATACTTGGGGTGGAGAAAGAGAAATAAAGGAATCAATGTGTGGAGGCGATGCGGCAGCCTGCAGAATTTCGGGCTAAAAGGGGTTGGGGGGAAGCAAAGCCCCCTCCCTTAGCCCTACACAGGGGAGATTAAGGGAAAAAAAGGACGGGGGGGGAAGGGTTGTTGGCTGCGGAAAGGTCAACCCCCCCCCTCGGTCCTGGCAGGGACTGGGGCTGCAGAGGAGCCCCCCCCACACGCCCACAGCGCCGGGAGCGGGGCCGCAGCGATGGCTCCTTCCCAGGCTGCAGGAGATTGTGTAAAAAATGAGCAGCGAGGGATGTTTAATCATAAAAACTTGTTAGAGGTCCCTTTCTTTAATGAAATGAGTGGAGCAGGGTTTTAATCTTTCTAATCAAAACCAGACCCGGCGAGCGGGATGCGTTTGTCGCCCTCGTCCCAGTGCCTCCGAAATCAAAAAATCTGGAAGCGATTACTTCTGCTGATCTCATAAAATATTGCTCTTTAATATTTCTGGCTGCAGCATTTGGTGGTTTCTTTTCCTTCCCCTGATTTGTGTCCTCGGTTTTAAAGCGGGGTCTCTTTTTGTCGCCGGGGGTGGGGGGGGAAGGACAGGCACACCGCAGTCTCTCAGCGGAGCCATCCCTGGAGCAGGGGAAGCTAAAAAGCCTTTTTACAATCCCAGTTTTGTGCTAGGTCTGTTTGGGGGAAAAAAAAAAAGGGGCAAAAAAACCTCAAAACCAACCTTAACGAGCGCAATGAAATGGTCAGGTTAGAAAACATTTTAGCAGGGCCAAAGATTTATGGACCAAAAAGAAAAAAAAACACCAAAAAAAAGGAGAAGAAGGGGGAAATCTTTCCATCTAAGTCATGTATTTATTTTTTTTAATTGTTATTATTATTATTTTCCCTCCTGTCTGCTTTTCTCCCTTCGTTCACCCTTAAATAAAGGATCAAATCCTGCAGGGTCGGGCAGCGGTTCGCCCACATCCATTTCGCGAAAGGGGAGAAATCATCCCCGTTTGATCGTTATTAATTAAGAGAGGGGAAAAAAAAGAGAGAAATTACAATCCCCATCATCATTTGGACAGGACTTTGGAGGCGGTTTCGGACCCGGCTCTCCGGAGGGGCTTGTCAGGAGCGGTTAGCGATGTTGAAAAGCCGTGATGTATGGAAGTTCATTTCGGCCCCCCCCTTTTCCATTCAAGCGGATCTCATTTCCAGTGCGACCACAGCCTGCTCCCTCCCCCTGCTC